AGTGACTGGGAAGATGGGCGGCAGGGTGTGCAGGCCTCTAGGAGTTTATGCCTGGTGGGGTCCAGGCTCAGGATAAGTCATCAGAACTGTGGAGAGGGGAAATAGAAGAGCATACTCAGAACTGTCTAGTGTCAGCATGGCTTGAGCTCAAGTTGGTCAGGGAAGGGTTTTGTGAGGAATTGATCTTTCAGTTGAAAGAATTAGTTATCTAGGCTAGCTAGAGGGGGCTGGTGGGAGTACTTATAGCAGAGGGGACAATTATGAATATTCTGAGTCCTTAATAACTCATGAATTCTAAACAGTTTTAAAGATATCCTGCCAATAAACCTTTATCATTAAATTTCAGGAATCAGGAGCACCCATCCTAACTGACGACGTTAGCTTGCAGGTATTCATGGATCATTTGAAGAAACTGGCTGTCTCCAGTGCCTCTTAAGCTGGTGTGCTAGCTGGAAATTGAAAAGAAAGAAACTGTCAGTTGTGTTCGTAATTGTTCATAAAGGCTTAATAACATTCCTTTTACTTTTGTGCATTTAAATAAATAATTAAAGGCAGTGTTGTATGTAACTTTATAATTTATTTGTTTTTCCTATATGTACCCCTTTTCTTCCCTCATAAAATTACAAGTCCATAAATGTTTTGGTACTTAATACATGTTTATATGCTTTTTGTAATCTAACTTTGCAGTCTATGTAAAAGCAAAGGTAATGTGTTTTGGCAGCCTGCTTAGATGAAAAACCATAATGGTCAGGAAGGAAATAAATTTGAATGAAGAAAGCACTGGCTAAAATAATGCTGATACAAATTTGATTTCCTGGGATCTCTGTGAGTATGCATATGTGTTTTTTAAGTGATTCACCCAAGAGATATTTCCTGAACTTGTTTACTATCTAAATGGTAACAGACCAAGGAAAAGTTTCAGATATGTAAAACTTCATTGAGGGAGTCTGGTCTCGAGTAGCACTGTCCCTAACCCACATGTAATGTACCATGTAAACAGTCTCACCTAGGTAGACATTAAGAGTGGATGATGGGCAGAAGTGGATCTAAGAGAGTGATAACACATTTATCTTGGGCACAAGTAAAATAATTTTAACAGGTATTGCTTTTTAATCAAAGTATAATATATGCATAGTAAAGAGAGAAATATTAAAAAAACCCTAACCTATAGAACTTATAACAAATAACAATTTTCTCCACTCCATAAGCCTAGACCCTACTCTTCAGAGGTGACCTTTTTTAATCTTTCAAACTTTTTGTTGTTAATGTATCAATTTTAGCCAGTATCTCTCAATTTTCATTTTTTAAGAATGAGGATTTGAAGATCTTTCTACCATTTAGATTTGATCAACTATACCTTTATATTTATATTAACAAGGTTGGTAAAATTTACATTTCAACCTATAACCATAGCTATGTCTTTTGTCTCAAAGATGATTCTGGAAGTTGATAACTAATAAAGATTATCTTTACACAGTGGTCATAATATAAATATCATTCATGTCCCAGTCAGGTGGTATTACATTTCTCTCCAGGGGTTTGATGTCCCGGTTCCCATGCCACTTGAAGGACAACATTCTTAATGACAAAATCACTTTTCTTAAGAGTCCATACTCTACAGGTTGGTTTGCTTCCTTTTTGGATTATGACTTATATTAGTTGTTTTCCTTAGAATTTTTTTTCTTTCTTTTTTTTTTTAGAGAAGGTTTTGTTCTCTGTTAAGGACTTCCGGTTTCTTATTCTACTGAATGGAGTATTCTTTAGAGGTTACTGATGTTCCATTTAAACATAGACCAATTGTGACCGTTGTCATCCAGGAATTTTTTTTTTTTTTGGACTTGTGGGTTAGTTCTAGTCTTTCTTGTCCCTTAGTCATTTTTCAATTTTACATGACTTTTCCTAAAACAACAAAAAAGTATCAGTACATGGAGGATAATCCACTGAATCTATTTTCTCTTTGTAATTGACAGCTTTGCTGAATGTAAAATTCTAAACCCCAAATAAATTTATCTTTCAGAATTTTGGAGCAACTATTTCATTCATTTAAGAAGTAATTGTTAAGCATTTCCTCTGTAAGGAGTAGTCTAGGCACTGGGAAGGTAGCCAATGAGACAAACATTCCTGTCCTCTTGGAATTTACATTCTAGTAAGGGAAGACCAGCAATAAAAAAGTAGAAGTGAATTATATTAGATTTATTGTAATAGGTGCAATTAATTTATTATAATAGGTGCTATGTAAAAAAAGCTGGGAAATATTAATTAGTTGTTGGACCATCTAAATTGATTCTGATGCTTTGTCTTTGGAATTTTTAATGTATTGTTTTTTTGCCTCTGCTTTGCATTCTTTGTTTTAAAAAAGATTTTATGTATTTATTTTTAGAGAGGAGGGGAAAGGAGGGAGAGAAACATCAATGTGTGGTTGCCTCTTGCATGCCTCCCAGGCATGTGCAGGGAGGGAATCGACAGGGAATTCGAACTGATGAACCTTTGGTTCTAAGACCAGCACTCAATCCACTGAGCCGCACCAGCTAGGGTTGCATTGTTGAGAGGGTGTCCTATTGTAATGTATTAAGCGGTTATATTTAAATACCAAGGACTTTTATTTTCTGTAGCTTTTCCATGGGATATTTAAAAAATTTTTTTGGATAAAATTTTTGAATGAGTTAGATCATATAGAGGAATACATAGAACTGTGTATACAAATAAAGACTGAAACAGTCCTCAGGCCTTTCTATTTCAAATTAACAAGAATATGATAGACTCAGCATACTTGGGTATTCTCTCCAGTGAAAATGAGTTGTGCTGGAAGAAGAAGAGGCGCCTTGAGATGACCTAATGTAGAAAATTATTATATCCAGATAAAACGTGGAAGTAGAGGTTGGTGTTCTGTGGATAACAGGCAACCCAAGAAGGGAACATGGAGCCTGTGTGTCTAATGAGGACTCTGAATTCCATCTTACAGGCAAAGAAAGCTGGTTTACCTTAGGGTGTCAAATGATCAATTACAGATATTAGAAATTCTAGCAGAATGATAGAATAGATGGGAGGAGGCTGGAATCCAAGTGAGGTCTGAACAGAGGTGTGTGTTTAGACAGGTTATAGGTGGGATGTTAGGTAAGAAGTTGAGTCAAGGTTTCTTGCTTATGTGATCTTTCTGAGAATTACAGAAAAAGATAGGTTTCATTACTGTTGGGGGAGAATGACATTGATAAATTTAATCCTGGACATTGTTATTTTAAGGAGCTTGTGGGATATCTCAGTGAAAATGCCCAGCAGGTTGGAAGTAACTAATATAGATTTGCTTTCAGAAGAATTGAGTAGATTTGAGAGTCATTAATATGTAAAGTAAATAACGAGTAAAGTTGCTCAGGAAGAGCAAAGAAGGAAGCTTGGAAGAGAATACCGACTTTTCTGTTTTGTTTTTAACTTTATTGAGGTACAATTTACATACAATAAACTTCACCTATTTAAAGTGCACAATCCAATAAGTTTTGACAAGTTTGTGTACACAAATGGAACCACCACAATCAACATGCATGAACATGTCCATTGTCCCCATGTTTCCTTAAGCCCCACGTTTATTCCTTGCTTTCTGCACATCCAGCCCTAGAAAAACCACTGGCCAACTTTGTCCCAGTACAGATTAACTTGCTTCTAGAATTTTATGTCTGGTTTCTGATGTGCCTGGCTTTCACATGGCACCATACATTTGAGATTCATCAATGTAGTTGCATGTACCAGTAGTTCCTTTTTATTGCTGAGCAGTATAGCACATTTGATTTATCCATTCACTATGGATATCTTTATATCTGAGTTGTAAGGGTTCTTATATATTGTGGATACAAATTCTTTGTCAACTCTATGTATTTTCAATATTCTATTGATTGTTTTATCTTCTTTTTTTTAAATTTTATTTATTTATCTTTAGAGGGGAAGGGAAGGAGAGAGGGAGAGAAACATCAATTAGTATCATCCCCTCCCCACTCCCGACTTTTATCTTCTTAATTTCGACTTTTGATGAGCAAAAAATTTTAATTTTGAAAATATCCGACTTCTCAATTCTTGTTTAGTGCTAAGAAACATAAGAAATTTTTGCTTATCTTAAGGTGGCAAAGATTTTTTCTCTTGTTTTTCTTTCCAGATTTGTGTTTTTAATTTCGGCCTATATGATCCACTCAGAGTCAATTTCTGTGTGTGGCAAAACACCAATTTCTAAAGAATAGGCAGAAGTAGAAAGATCCCTGAAAGATTCAGATGTACAACAGATGTTTTTGAAGCCATAAAAGGAGCAGGTGGGGTCTGTGGTGTCAAATGCTTTAAAAATCAAGTTTGATTATGGCTGAAAAGTGGTTACTATCTAGGGCAATTTATTGAGTGTCCACTCTGTCAAGCACAGCACTTTCGCGATCAAGTTGTTTGGTCTGTTGTAGTAGGGGTAGATTGTACTTTGAAGAAATGTACGGGTAAGAGAAAAGCAGAAGGTGGACGCAGACGAAGATATTTTTGCGATATGGGTACATTTGTATGATGAAGGGTACAAATCAAAAAAAATGAAAAAGTGGGAGGTGGAGGAGAATCATGGTGTAACTGATGGGAAAGGCCCCAGAGGAAAGAAGAAAGAATGGGACCCAGAACGTAGTGGAGAGATTAGCCGTGACGTGGAGGAACAGGCTCCAGAAAAGAAAATGGTGAAGATGAGTTTGCGGGCTGAGACAGGTGGTATCATCGCAAATCTGAGCTGGAGGGGAAATGGAATTAACCTTTACAAATACCATCTGTAGCCTGTTGAGGCAAAACAATTTTACACGTGAGAAGTTTAACTCAGAGAAATTGTCATTTAGTAGGTCTTTGGGCATGCAAGGACGTTCTTTCGCTGTAAAGCACAAAAAGCACCCGAGGCAAAGCTTCACCTGAATCCAATCCTGGACGCCACCGCCGAACTACACGCCCCAGGAAGTAATTGGGCCAGCTTTCCATTGGAGGAAGTCAAGGCGGTTGTTATGCGTTGGACGGAAGTTCCGCCTACGCCGAGTCTTCGGGAGTCGCAGTTTTCCCCAGCAGCGCGATGCGTGCTGAGCAGGCCTCCGCTTGGTACAGGCGAATGTCTGCTGTCTACGCTTTGGGTGCCTGGACCACGTTGGGCTCCTTGATTTTCTTCGGTCGGAAAAAGAGCAAGCCATTAGGTACGGGTCTCCAGCTTGACCTTCCACTAGACACGGAGCTGTCCGTGAGGCGTGCTTAGGGGTCATAAGAGCGGCTTCGCTGTCCCGGCAGACCTAGATACTCTGAAGAATTTGGGGACGGTTGCTTAGAGCGGTTTGTTGTAAGGATATCTGCTAGGAAGTACATTTTAAATCCTCTTACCTAAGTCTTGTGTGTTTGTTTATTTATTTTGAATGAGGCCGTCCCTTATACTAAGAATTTGAAGAATCAGTGTAACGTTTGAATTGGAATTTTCAGACACTGGACGGTGGTGTTACTGTAACATTAGCCCTCCTCTCATTTGGCGACCAATTTCAGCACTTATTGCCAGCTAAGGAATATTAAAACCTTCCCATTTATAGGGAGGAAAGGAAATCCGTTAGTTTTAAAAGATGTGCTTGGAAATAACAGTTATTTGTAGTAGGTTTGTGTTTGCCTGGAGCTTAATGGGAGGAGTGATGGGGATTGACAGCGAAGAGTATGGGGTTTCTTTTTGTGGATGAAAATGTAAAAATTTGTTGTTGTGCTGGTTGTCCAGATTTGAATATACAAAAAGTTACTCAATCTTACATTTTAAATGAGTAGTTGTATGATGTTAAATATATCTTATCAGTGGCCTGAAAGTACACTTTTCCAGTATGCAGCGTAAATACATTTCAGTGTCTATAGTGGTCACATTTTATTTATTTTTCTTTTTTACACAAAGGAAATGTCAGGAAGCTAATGGAGATGGGGGTAATTCTTTAGTTTTTTTTACAAGACTTTACTAATAATTTACATGGCTGCTATTCTAAGTTAGAAGTTAATAATTCCGGTGATTTTTTTTTTTTAAGTGAAGTAGAACAAAAGATGTCTCAACAAATGAATTCCCTGAGCCAAGTAATTCTTACCTTAGTTTATTTTATTTCCAAGACTTTACTAAATAATTTTAATGACTACTCCCTAAGTTAAAAGTTAATAATTCAGGTTTTCCATGTTTTTTAAAGGTGGTGAATTAGAGCAAAAGGAAGAAATAACTGAACCCCCAAAAGGATTTTATGTGGAAACGATTGTCACATATAAAGAAGATTTTGTTCCAATTACTGAGAAGATCCTCAACTATTGGAAATCATGGACTGGGGGTGGTGGACCAGAATCATGATTGACTGCTGAATTCTGGAAACCAGGACTTTGGTTCAGATTATAAATTTGATAGATGCCTTGATTTTCATCTCATGTTTGTGGAAAGTGTATACATTTAATTTAATTTTGCCATAAATATCATTACTAATAATATGCAATAAATATTTCCTTGAGGCAAAGTAAACTTGTATATTCAAGAAATGTCCCTCTATACTTACATGAGTGAAAGGTTGAAGTGAAATTTTACATTGACTGTCTGTCTGTAAGCTTGCTTTCTGAAACTAGTTCCTGAACATTATATTTCTTTATGTTGCTGTCAGTCATGGCTTTGAGTGGTCCATTTAAGGATAGATTCAGCAAATCTCCATGTTTAGTTTGGGATTTTTAGCAGCCCTTTGGGTACTATTGGATGCTTGGTGAGTACATTAGGATTTAAATCTACTTGGTCTTTAGGACCACAATGGGTGTGGATTAAATCCCAACTGTGACTACCAATATTCTAGACACAGGGAATACTAAATTGGGAGAACATGGTTTCTGACCTAAGTGCTGCACCAGTACTCTTCACTAGTCTCTTGGTTGTGAGTCACAAATCCACATAAGTGAGCTTAAATCATGGTGGTGTTTGTCAAAAATGTATATGTACAATTCAGAATTAAAGCAGATCATGTAGCAGTTTTAGGAGGGCCTGACACCAGGAACTGGAATGCAACTAGCCACTCACTGACCCTGCCTCCTCTGGCTCAAAAAAAAGCTCATAATTTTCTATAAGTTTGGACATTCTTAGGTTGACATACATGTACTTAAAAATGGTTTCCCAATTATGGTAATTTGGTAACTTGAAACTTTAAACTCTTGCTAGCTAAATTAAATGATGACATTCATTGAATATCTAGACAATTTTCAAATAAGATACTGTATCAAATACTGAACACAGGTATACCTACTTTTTTGCTTCTATACTTGATCTTAGCCAAAAGGCCAAGAAGTGATTACTTTTTGCTTTTTGTAGAGGAAATAAAGATATTTGAGTTTATTGGTAAACATGTTTTGTGCCACAGTAAAAAAAATTTTGTGTTGTGACGAAATAGATATTTCTATAAATTATAAAATGTGTTTATAAATTTATTAATTTTAAAGAATACTGGTATAATAGGTTATAATTCCTTGCTCCTTAGTTTTTACTAGAAATTATGATTTTTAAGGTTAAGAGTTTTAATACATGTAATTAAAGGTACAATATAGAAAGCCACTAGTATGCAAGAGAAATAGGATATATTTGGCTTAAAAAAAGTATAAGATATGGAAATGTGTTTTCATTAAGAGAAAGTAATTTTATCCTGACTTTTTTTAAAATTTTATTTATTTAGTTTTAGAGAGCATGGAAGTGAGGCAGAGAGTGAGAGAAACATCAGTGTGTTCTTGCCTCTCAAGCACCTGCTACTTGGTGCCCGGCCTGCGATCCAGGCATGTGCCCTGACTGGGAATCGAACCAGTGACCCTTTGGTTCATGGGCTGGCACTTAGTCTGCTGTACCATATTAGCCAGAGCTGTCCTAATTATTTCCGAATGGCTAGAGATACTGAAAGTTGAAGAAAGTTTATGAAAAGTTAATCTTTAATTTTTTAATTTTTATTTTTTTAGATTTTATCATTTTAAAAATATTTTATTTATTTATTTTTAGAGAGAGGAGAAGGGAGGGAGAAAGAGGGAGAGAGACATCAGTGTGTGGTTACCTCTCACATGCCCCCAACTGGGTATCTGGCCTGCAACCCAGGCACGTGCCCTGACTAAATTGAATTGGCAACCCTTTGGTTCACAGGCTGGCATTCAGTCCACTGAGTCACAACAGCCAGGGCTGAAAAATGAATCTTGAGGAAGGAAAGTTTATCTGAGTAGTGAAGCTGAATAAGATTGAAATAAAATTATGTGAATTTAAATATCAAAAGTAAGCTGATATAGAATTACAATTTGATTTTCTCTGCTAAAAAGAACAGTTTTCTTAGAATGTTAGTCTGCTACTGATACTTTGAAATTGTTTTCTGCCTGGAAAGCAAAAGTTATTCTATCAAAATAATTTTCTGTGTTTTGTACTATCTTTTTTTCTTAATCCTCACATTAGGATATATTTATTGATTTTAGACAGTAGGGGGGAGGGAGAGAGAAAAAGCTCGATGTGAGAGAGAAACATCAGTCTGTACATACCTATGGCATATCTGTGCCTGCTGTACATACCCTGACTGGGGATCAAACCCACAACCTATGTATGTGCCCTAATTGAGACTTGAACCCATAACCTTTTGGTGTATGGGACAAAGCTCCAATCAACTGAGCCACCTGGCCAGGGCTTATGCTGGGTTTTAATCATGTCCTTGATTACTTAAGAAAACTGAATTTCCTCAATAGTAAGAACTACTAAGTTTTGCTAACAGTTACGTAAATTTCTGTTTTTGTCTTTGCAAATTTTTATTGTCACTTTGGTTAAATGGATAATTAAGTGTTCAGTCAAATGACTTAAAATCCTATTTAGTCAAATGCCCAAATCTGGGCCCCTGGAACACCTCAAAAGATTTGTTTTCTCTCTTTACAAAAAATTTTAAAACTAATTAGACTTATTTGGTATGTTAAATTGCATGAGAAGCATTATAAAATAAGCGGTGTTAATCTTCCAGTGTATATTGTAAAGGTAAACAATGGCTGTAAATTGAATGAATAGTCAGGGCTACAGGAAACCCAAGGTGGCCACTTAGTTCTTTCAGGCTCCTGGCAAAAACCTGTTGTATTTTCTTTTTTCTTTTGCATTCCTTCATCACCATGATACTTTTAAGCTGAACTTTATTCAACTGCTGTTTAGTATGGGTTATCAAGATGTTCCTGGTATGTTTCCAGGATGAGTTAAAGCTTTTCCCTACTCAAAGGCTGATATCCTCACAGTGTCAAACACACCGTTAGAAAATGTGTTCCCCACTTGGGGTATGCCTTCAGTCATCTCTGAGCGAATCATATGAGCTTTGATGCAGACCTAAAAACTTAGAATTATCACTGACCCCTATCACCCTTGGTTATTATCAGGCAAACTTGAGAGAATGAATGAAAAACTGGATTTAAGCAGAAATTTTAATTACATGGGACTGAATGAACTAATGAGGATGATTACAATTTTTATGACTTTCTGTTTGCAACATTGCTAGGTTTTTTTCAATGTATAAGAATTTTTTTCTAAAGCTAGCTATGAATTAGAGCAACTTGGTAAACCATGCCTTTGTAAACAAAATTGAAAAAGTTGTCTTTTTCTCCCTACTTGATTCCTCCATAATTTGGAAACTTGCAGTGAGAGTTCTGATTTTCATGTCAATGTTGTTATTTGCATAAGTTCAGTAAGAATTTGTTCGTAGAACAGGAGACAATTGGAAACTAGTTGTATTTCAAGGATTGGACTGGAATGTCATATTGAGTGAGACGTGCATAGACTCAGATATGACCAGACAGCTTTGAGATTGACTGATGGAAGTCAATAAAAACCCTTGGAAATATTGGGTTAGTATCTTGCTTAAACATTACTAACAGCATTACCAGGTGAGTAAAGAATGTCACTTCTTGGCAGGTGCAGAAACCTCAGGATATTTTGGGGAGCTTGAGAAGAGAGGAACTCACCCAAATCTATAAATACAGGCAACATCCGATGGCAAGTTCTTCCTGTGGCTTTTCTGGCCTTGAGAGGCTTTTTAAAGTTCAACCTGAGATTCCTTAAGAAAAATTCTGGCACAGCTGATTTAAAAGCCTATGCGGATTTCTTAACCTTTAAAAATTCTAATTTTTAGTAAAAACTAGAAATTTTTACAACAGGAGCAAGGAATTGTGAATTAGTACACCAGAATTCTTCTAGATTTGTTTATAAAAACATAATTTATAGAAATATATTTGTTACTATTCTCGCTGGGCTTATATAAATCAGTTTATATTTTAAAGTTTATTGAAGTAACATTTTGCAAATAAATGAGTGTTAGTTTGGCTATCTTTGGTAAAGATTTTACAGGTAAAAATTATGTTTCAATAGAAAGTGTAATATACTTTTGGGATATTAGACTTTGGTGCTGTTAATTATCTTCTTTTTTTAAAATATATTTTATTGATTATGCCATTACAGTTGTCCCATTCCCCCCTTCATTCCCCTCCATGCTGCACACCCCTCCCCCACCCTTCCCACCCTTTAGTTTATCTTCATGTGTCACAAGTTCTTTAGATTCTATATTTCCCATACTATTCTTGCCCTCCCCCCTATCTATTTTCTACCTACCATCTATGCTACTTATTTTCTGTACCTTCTCCCCCCTTCTCCTCCTCCCACTGCCCTGTTGCTAACCCTCCATGTGATCTGCATTTCTATGGTTCTGCTCCTGATCTAGCTGTCCTCTTAGTTTGCTTTTGTTTTAGGTGTGTTTGTTAATATCTGAGTTTGCTGTCCTTTCACTGTTCATCTTTTTTGTCTTCTTTTTCTTAGATAAGTCCCTTTAACATTTCATATAATAAGGGCTTGGTGATGATGAATTCCTTGAATTTGATCTTATCTTGGAGGCACTTTATCTGCCCTTCCATTCTAAATGAAAGCTTTGCTGGATAGTGCAATCTTGGATGTAGGACTTGGAATAGTTCTTTGCAGCCCCTTCTTGCCTGTAAGGTCTCTTTGATAAATCAGCTGACAGTCTGATGGGAAGTCCTTTGTAGGTGACTGTCCCCTTATCTCTTGCTGCTTCTAGGATTCTCTCCATTCTAATCTTGGCTAATGTAATTATGATGTGCCTTGGTGTGTTCCTCCTTGGGTCCAACTTTCTTGGGACTTCGAACTTCCTGAATTTCCTGGAAGTCTATTTCCTTTGCCAGATTGGGGAAGTTCTCCTTTATTATTTGTTCAAATAAGTTTTCCATGTGTGGCTATTCCTCTTCCCCTTCTGGTACCCCTATAATTCGGATGTTGGAATGTTTAAACATGTCCTGGAGGTTCCTAAGCCTCTCCTCGTTTTTCCAATTCTTGTTTCTTCATTCTTTTCTGTTTGATCATTTTTTTCTTCCTTCTGGTCCACTCCCTTGATTTGAGTCCCAGTTTCCTTTCCATCACTATTGGTTTCCTGTGCATTTCTCTTCATTTCAATTAGTTTAGCCTTCATATGTTCCTCTAATTTGTGAGTAAAATCAACCAGTTCTGTGAGCATCCTGATCAGCAGTGTTTTGAACTGTGCATCTGATAGTTTGGCTATTTTTTGGTTGCTTAAAAGTATTGGCTCTGGGGCTTTGAGCTCTTTTTCTGCTTGAGCCATAATGTTTTGGTCAGGTTGCACCTATTATGTATAAGGGGCGGAGCCTTAAGTGTTCACCAGGGCGGGGCCACTCAGGTGGCTGGGTTTTGACGCTTTATGTGGGGGTGGGGTCAGAGAGGGGCAATTGTGTTTGTTCCTCTCTCTCAGATTTTGGTCCTTTCTGATGCTTCCCACAAGCAAACCGAGCCCCTCTGGTGCCGGCTCCCGGGTGTGTGGCCCTGTGCACCCTCCAGGACCCTGTGGGTCTCTCCAACAAACTGTGAGCCTGGGAGCTTTTCCCGGTACCTCAACCCCAAAAGTTTCTCCAATTGGTGCTTTCAGGCTTTAACTCCTGGAGGTGGGGCCCTAGCCTGTGTGATCTGTCTCACTGCTTGCTCCTTTGCCTGGTTTGTCTGTGTGTGAATGTGTGACTGTGGTCAGCCAGCTGCCTAGCACCCTCACTAGGTCTGCCCACTGTCACCCCACATCTGGAATTCGCCAACTGCCACCTGCGCTCCTGGGTTCGGCAGGCCGCTTTTGCCTGCCCAATTCCACTTCACCAGCTGCTGACTCCGCCCCTCTTACCAGTTTGGCTAAATGGTTCGGTGTTGTCGGACTTCCATACAGTTCAATTTTCTGTGTTTTGGTTGCATTTTTTGTTACTAAAACTTTGTTGTCTTTAAACTTGGTTGTATGAGGATGCACAGTGTTTCCACCTATGCCTCCATCTTGGCCGGAAGTCTGTTAATTATCTTTTGAATTTTTGTTTTGTTTTAGTAAACTGAACTGGGTCTTTAATTTTTCTAGTTCCCTCCAACATCTGTCTGTCACTCTCCAAACCATTTCTAACTTTTCTTTCATCTTTTTACTTGGAATCATTGAGAACTCAAAGTGCCTTTTCCCAAGGCCACAGCAAAAATAGATTTCAGAGAAATTGCCAGAACAGTTCATATATGCAATCTTTATGTCTCTTGTAGAAAGATCAACAGAGACATTTAAACTGCAGACCAGGAGAATCTATCAGACTGCAACTGCCTGCCTTCACTCAATTTGAAGATGATTCCAGACACCTACGTAGAAATTTTTTCAACTGCCTGCTTTCAGAACTGAGAAACAGATTATAGTGTGTTCCAATCATTAACCTTTGTTTTTCTTGTTTCCATAAGGATACTTTTTATTAAATAATTGCACCACAGGCTTAATTTTAGGAGCCCACTGGCATTACTGTCTTCTAAAATGAGATAACGAACTGAACTAAACCTTTCTCAAGACAGATTGGTTTCAGAACAATCTATCAACCCAGCTTCTGGAATGTGAAATTTCCAGGGAAATTTCAGAGGTGAACTGTGGGCATACAGAAAGAGCCACTCCAACATGTACCTTTATGGTATGTAGTTTTGGGGTTTTTTTGTTTGTTTGTTTTTGACTAACGGCAATTTTTAAGCTATGGGCTTGAGAAATTTCTGCCCCAGAACTACCTAGAAGAACTTGAATTGGGGAATTTACCCATAATATGAAGTTATCAAAGATAACATTTGACCTATCTATAGTTAAAGGCAAACTACTAATTATTAAATGTAGCAATGACCCTTGGAAAGCCCCCAAAGCACCTTACCTCATTGCTACCCCAGAATGTCTGTATACCCAGTTTCCCTTATTGTGTTTGAACCTCATGCATGTCAGGGTCTCTGACTCTTGCATGTATATGGGTCCACATAAACGTGAATGTATTAAATTTGGTTACTTTTCTCTTGTTCATTTGACTCATGTTTATTTGATTATTAGACCAGCTGAAAGAACCTTGAGGGCAGAAGAAAGTTTCTTTCCCACATATACATTTTTGGCAGAAAAAACACAATACTGATGTGTTTCAGTACAGTATCAAGGAACATGATGTTTGTCTCATTACTGGTGAGGTTAACTTAGGTCATTTCATTAATATACTTTAGTGTGTAGTGTTAATATTTAAGGATACTAGTTTGTATTCTTTTCTAGCCAAATGACTTTCATTGTTTTTTGTTTGAATACTTTCTCTTATAGGAGGAGAAAAAGTTTTCCTCAACACTTACAGAGTCCCTGTGTGGGTTTGAAAATTAAACTGATAAAGACAGATGAACAGGAGAAAAGCCTACAAATTTATTTGTTTTACATATGACTGAACTTAATTAATCAATACATGACACAGGAGCCTTCATAAAGAAATGAAGACCCTTCATTTCTTCTAATACTCAATAGACTTGAGTATTTTTATGCTAGGTTTTTTTTTAAGTTTTCTCCTGAGGACATACTTTTTGATTTTTAAAAAGAGGGGAAGGTAGGAAAAAAGGGAGAGAAAGAGCCATGTGAGAAACATGGATTGTACATGCCCCAACCAGGACCTGGTCTGCAACCTAGACATGTGCTGTGACTGGGAATCAAATCTGCATCCTTTCTGGTTTACATGACATTGCTCCAACCAACTTGAGCTACACCAAATGGGGTTATGCTAGTTTTGATGAAGTTTGGGCAGTTGTGGAGGAATATGATTACGTCCAGTAATCTGAGGTAACTATAGTAGATTGGAGGAGCCCTAGTAAGGTTGTTTGTTCTTGGGAGATAAGGATGCTTTTTAAGTGTGGAGATGGTACCTCTCACATGAAGTGTTTATGACCTGTTTCAGGGAGGAGGGTTGGGGTGACTTTCCTGCTTTTATTCTCTCACATTCCTCCAGCTTTAAATATTCAGTGTCCCAAGGTGCCATGTTTTGGGGTAATCTGTCCTGATCCTCATCATTCTACACTTACCAATGTTATTAGAGGACACATTCAGAGGAACTTATGCTTATCAATGATAATTTGTAGAATAATGCTTGTACAGTCTTTTGCAGCTTTCTAAGCGCTTTTTACCTAGTCTATCTAAATCTAACAACTCTGCAGGGGTGGGGGTAGGCTAAGTATTAGTGTTAGAGGAAGAATTAGAATAACAGAATTAGAATTACAGAATTACACTGTACATCTAGGCACTATAATGACATGCTAAGTAAATGAATACTTTTAAGTAGCTATTTTAGTCAGCTAGTCAGCAACTCTTTTTTTTAAAAAAGATTTTATTTATTTATCTTTAGAGGGGAAGAGCAGGGGAGAGAGAGAGAAACATCAATGTATGGTTGCTTGTTGCTTTTCGTGCATCCCCTGCTGGGAACTGGCCTGTAGGGAACTGGCCTGTAACCCAGGCATGTGCCCTGACTGGTAATCCACCGGCGATTGTCTGGTCCGCAGGCTCAGACAATGTAGCTCAATCCACTGAGCTACACCAGCCAGGGGTTAGTCAGCAACTCTTGTTCTGCCTAGTTTCTAAGAAGCCACTGAGGCAGGAAGACAAGGGAAGAACAATTTGGGAGGATAGTTGGACGGGGCTGGAGAGAAGGAAGAGGGACATAGAATGAGGATTCGGGCAGAACACAGCTAGGATATAGGAATGATGGCTCTTGGGCCTGATATGAGTGAAAACAGGTGCAGAAACTGTTCTGGGCAGAGTTGAGTCTGAACAAGAATGGCGATCCTAGAGTTACGGCTGGTACCAATTGTGCGTGGAGCAGAACCGAAAACCCGGTGGGGTTTATCACTGGATGAGCGGGTTATAGTTTATCCTCAAATGGGCGTGATGGATGTGGGCGGGACAAGCTTGTGGTGGGCGTGGTCAATATCACTGGCCTTCACCAACTTGGTCTGGCAGAGCTGCCGGGCGCTTCCCGGTGTCATCTGCAGTGGGCGCTGGCCGCCAAGCCACTGGCGGAGTCCAGAGGCCGGAAGAAGCGCGCACCGCCCCACTAGCTCCAGCCGCCGCCATGAAAGCTGTAGTGCAACGCGTCGCTCGGGCTAGCGTCACAGGTCAGTCGGGTGGGGCCGGGCCGGGGAGGAGCCACCCCTGACCCCACGCCTGACAGTCCCCGGCCACTCTCCGCAACCAAACGCCCTGTGGGCCCTTGGGCGAGCTGGGATCTCGCAGTGTCGACTCCTTGGCCAGGCTCAGGGCACCGCCACGGCCCCTGAAGTGCCTGGTGGGCCCCAGTGCGGTCCTAGCTTCAGGATCCCCTCTTTGGGTTCACGATAAACGCACCTTATTTTGGTTCTGAGCACCTGGTGGTAGAAACTCCGAGCATCTGTATGGCTCGTTCTTCAGTGGACTATTGCACTAATGTGTAGGGAATATTTCTGGAGCAAGAACGTCCCCTTTTTCAATGTTCTTTTTAAAATTTCCCATTTTGCCCATTTTCTATATGTCCCAATTTTAATGGAGCTTGACTCTCAATAAAATACACAGATGTGAAAAGTTGTTCCTATCGATGAGTTCTGGCAGTTGTGTACACCCACGTGACCAGCCCCAGATTAGTTTCAGAAGAGTCCTTGCCCCAGGATAACCTTCCTCTCTAGTGGACCTGGGTTGGGGTCAGAATCTTAAGAATTCAGGGTGAAATATTTCTCTTTCTACCAGTTTCTTGTGGGCCAAGCCACCCAACCATTAGTCATCACTTGATCATTGTAGTCTAATTTGAACAATGATTAATGTTAATCACTGTTAATGGGGTCCAGATAAGTAATGTAGATAAGGTAGTTGTTATAAAAACTCAAACCAGGATAATAAAGTTATTTTAATGAATAATTTTAGATTGTTTTCTAGCCTTTTCTGTTTACATTGGCAGAGTTATAATATTGTTTCAGGCCAGATAATTCCAGATATTCTTCAAGCCAGTCTACACCAAATGTTTTCTTGTGTCTATGAAAGTATTAATCTAAAAGCAAAACAACAAAATCCCCCTAAAAAAAAACAATCAAACCCAGCAAAACCATATACAGGTATTTAGATTTGAGATTTGACTTTTCATCCCTACTCAATGATGTCTAAACTGTTTTGGTGACTGGTTTTGGATATGGCCTCAGAGTAATTGGGATTTATGGAATTTTAAAACAATTTTTTTTAGCATTTTGGTTAATATTTAAGGTCACTAAACTAGGATAATCCATAGATGAAAAGATGTTTTGCTTTTTCTGAGAAGATCTTATAGTCTGCTTTATGTGGTCATCATCAACACTCAATAAAATGGAGAATTTAGGTTTTTATCTTATATCTCTTAACTCTCTATTCTGAAATATTAAAAACATGTGTTCTGTGACATTTGCTGAATAGTTTAAGTGATTTTAGTTTATTATTTAAATTGTATGCTTTTAGTTAAAAACAAACCAACCAACCTGTATTAAAAAGATAAATGTTAATTGTGGGAAGGTGTTAATAAGATGGAATTATCTCTGTGTTAGAGAGACCTTGGCATTAGCTAGGTCTCCTAGTTGGATGGTAATGGAAAGATTTTCTGATTCCTTAAAAATGTGACTGGCTCCACTGAAATGTAAGTGAATGACATATTATTTCAGGGGTTCCAAAATGTCATTTCCCATTTTATTGTTAAGACAGAGTACACAATTAGAAGTCACATCTTATCATGTGGCAGTTTCACTTTATGAGATTGTTCAATAGCATGGTTATTGTGATAATCTAATTTAAAAAGCTTTATTATGGAACATTTTAAACACTCATTTGGTTAAACAGGCAAACAGTACAGTAACCTTCATGTCTTGTCACTCAGCTTCAGCAGATAAAATATGAATAGAATCATAGAATATTGGGACGAGGATCTAAAATTGTTGGGTGTGAACATGTTTATTTGGGAGCTTGTAATTTCTCAAAGAAGGGATTCATGGGTGGTGCCACTTATACATGGAGAAACTGACCAAATATCTCAGGTCTTTTTTAGTCTGATGATATTCTAAATTTCTTAAGTTTTTTTCCTTTGGAAATCCATTTGTCTATAATAAAAGATCCATTTGAACCTACTAATCCTTCTACTTATTCCAGGAGGAGGGCAAAACTCCTCTAAAACAAGAGAGCAAACTGTCAGATACAGGCTTTGGGGCATAAATTATTTCTTATTAATACAATATAACATTGTAAAGATGATGCAACTTCAAATAGTGATTTGAGTCACTTCAAATAATGATTCTACTTTTGAAAATCTACTCTTAAGAAGATAATCCTAATTATAGAGAACACTTTAGAGGGATGAAAAAGCAGAGCACAGAGGATTTTTAGGACAGTGCAATAACTCCACATGATACTATAATGGTGCATACATGTCATCATATATGTATTTGTCCAAACCCATAGTATATACAGCACCAAGGGTGAACCCTGGAGTAAACTATGGACTCTGGATAATTTGATGTGTCAATGTAGTGTCATCAATTGTAACAAATTTAATCCTGTGGAGCTTAGTCTGCCCATTGCATGGAATGTAACTGCTACTGGATGGGATGCAATATTAAAAGATGTTTAGAGCAGCTTCAACCTGAGTCTGGGCTTCCCATCTTCCTCCTTGAACAACAGGAGCTGCAGCACATGCTCCAAGTTCTCCACAAGCTACCGGACCCTGGGCTCTGTGTAGTTGCCCAGCTGCTGGTGTCTAGCCAACCAGCAGCATGGCCAATGTCTGTGCAGGCTCTGGGGTCTCAGGCTTCCAGATCTCCATGTCCTCCACCAGAGTGCAGGGCATCTGGGGATCTGGGAGCCTGGCTGTAGGGATGGCTGGCGGTCTGGTGGGTGTAGGGGGCATCCAGAGTGAGAAGGAGACTATGCAATGCCTGAATGACTGCCTGGCCTCCTACCTGGAGAGGGTGAGAAGCCTGGAGGCTGGTAATTGGAGACTGGAGATCAAAATCCGAGAACACTTAGAGAAGAACGGACCCCAGGTTAGAGACTGGGGGCATTATTTCAAGACCATCGAGGACTTGAGGGCTCAGATCTTTGCAAATTCTGTGGAAAATGCCTGCATTATTCTGCAGATTGACAGTGCTCATTTTGCTGCTGATGACTTCAGAGTGAAGTATGAGACAGAGCTGGCTATGTGCCAGTCTGTGGAGAATGACATCGATGGGATCCAAAAGGTCATTGATGACACCAGTATCATCTGGCTGCAGGTGGAGACAGAGATTGAGGATCTCAAGGAGGAACTGCTCTTCATTAAGAAGAACCATGAAGAGGAAGTAAATGATCTACAAAACCAGATTGCCAATTCTGGGTTGACTGTGGAGTTGGATGCCCCCAAATCTCAGGACCTCAGCAAAATCATGACAGACTTCCAGGCCCAGTATGATGAGCTGGCTTGGAAGAACCGAGAGGAGCTGGATGAGTACTGGTCCCATCAGATTGAAGAGAGCATCACAGTGGTCACCTTGCAGACCACTGAGATAGGCTCTGCTGAGATGACACTCGTGGAGCTGAGACTACACTCTAGTTGTTGGAGATTGACCTGGACTCAATGAGGAATCTGAAGGTCAGTTTGGAGAACAGCCCCTGGGGATGTGGAGATGTGCTATACCATGCAGATGGAACAACTCAGTGGGATCCTGCTGCATCTGGAGTCAGAGCTGGCCTAGACTCGGGCAGAGTGGCAGTGCCAGGCCAAGGGATATGAGGCCCTGCTGAACACCAAGGTCAAGCTGGAGGCTGAGGTCACCACCTACTGAAGCCTACTGGAAGAATGGGAGGACTTCAATCTTGTTGATGCCCTGGACAAGAGCCCCTCCTTACAAACCATCCAAAAGACCACGACTCGCATGATTCTGGGCAGCAGAGTGGTGTCTGAGGTCAATGACACCAAAGTTTTGAGGCATTAAAGGCAGCAGAAGTGGCACATCCTTTGGCAGGGAAGAAGGCCAATAAAAAGTTCATTGAAAGATTTTAAAAAAAAGATGTTTAGGAGAAACTTATAACATAGAAAAATTCTTATGCAATAATAAAAGAAAAGATGAGACAAAAATGATATACAATATTTATAATAATATTGCAATAATATTCTTTTTCTTCATGTTTCTTACATTTTTCAAATTTTCTATAATGCATATTTACTTTAATGGTGGATATAGCTCAATAATAATAATTATTTTTTTCCTGGTAAAGTTTTTTTTAAAATTTTATTTAGTTATTTTTCAAGTACAGTTTTTTTGTCTATTTTTCCCATCCCAGCCTCCCCCACCCCTTGCTCCCCCACCTCCCTCCCATTTCCACCCCCCTTAGTTCTCGTCCCTGTGTCCTTCCTATTTGTTCCTCCAAATCCCTCCCCCTTTTCCCCCTTAACTTCCCTTCCTTCTCCCCTCTGGTCACTATCCCCTTGTTCTCTATTTCAGTGTCTTTGTTTTTTTTTTTTTCTGCTTGCTTGTTTGTTTTGTTGTTTAGCTTCCTGTTAAAGGTGAGATCATATGGTATTTGTCTTTCAGCACCTGGCCTATTTCACTCAGCATAATGCTTTCCAGTTCCATCCATGTTGTTGCAAAAGGTAGTAGCTCCTTCTTTCTCTCTGCAGCATAGAATTCCATTGTGTATATGTACCACAATTTTTGGATCCATTCATTTACTGCTGGGCACCTAGGTTGCTTCCAACTCTTGGCTATTGTAAACTGTGCTGCTATGAACATTGTGGTGCATAGGTTCTTTGATATTGGTGTTTTAGCATTCTTAGGATATAATCCCAGCAGTGGAATTGCTGGGTCAAAAGGCAGGTCGATTTTTATTTTTCTGAGAAAATTCCATACTGTTTTCCATAATGGTTGTATCAGTCTGCAATCCCACCAACAGTGGACTAAGGACCCCTTTTCCCCACAACCTCTCCAACATTTGTTGTTAGTTGCTTTGTTTATGATAGCCATCCTGACCGGTGTAAAGTGGTATCTCATTGTGGTTTTAATTTGCATCTCTCTGATAGCTAACGATATTGAGCATCTCTTCATGTGTCTCTGAATGTTCTGTATGTCCTCCTTGGAGAAGTGTCTGTTCAAGTCCT